CAGTGTCAAACCCAAACACGAGCCACCGTCTCCAAAAAAGACATTCGTTTGCAATAAACACTTCACAAGTGCCGCGAGTTTAGTGTCAACAGGTGACTCGTGGATGAAAAATCCCTCATGCTTCAAACTACGAAGAACTGTTTACTGTAAAGACAAAAAAGGGGCAGTTTTGTCTTACCTCATGTTTACGTCTCCAGAAAATGAGGAGTGACGTCACGATGTAACTCGAGTCTGAGGATTAAGTAGTCTGAGTAAAAACACCTGCATAAATAAGGTCCATATTTGTTTTTAATTTTCAGCATTTGACGTCTGACAAAATACCTAAATATAGAAACGTTAGAGGAATTAATTGTTTGCCTTTTTAGTGAGTTCGTCATTAGGTGATGCTGTCTTAGTCAGGACTACAGTATCGACTGTTGATGTGTGAATGACCCACACATGAGCACCGAAACTACTGTAGTGAACACCAACCGCAGGACTACACCTCCTGTTTTTACCATTCTGTCCGTTAGAAATGACGCACTTGTTCTAATGGAGTTCATACTGTAGAAGCTGCAGTTCTTGGTCCTAAAGTCAGAAAAGAGTTATAAATCGGTGCTTTGGACAGACGTGGACATTCAGTTGCTCCTGCACCAATTACCAGAACATTCCTCCTGTCCATGACCTTGGTGGACTCTGAGGTGTTGTGTGGACCACAGACTGGTCAGAGCAGAGGCCCTGTGGGGACCGTATGGTAGAAGTGTGTTTAACCTTAAAACTGAATATATACTACAAGTACAGCTAATTACTAATTACCAATAAAGGACTTCTTCATCTGAGACTAAATGTATTTATAGTTTATATTTATCTCATCGTATTTTACTATAAAACAATTTTATAAAACGAGGACAGAGGAGGCTGGGTTTGTTTTGCGAATTTTCTGCAAAAAAAAAAAGCACATCAAAAACAATATTTTTTCTTTTAATAAATTGTTTTTCTTTTAAATTATTAGAATTATTAGATAATTTGGTTTGTGAGGCATGGATATGTTATTTTAGATGTTACTGTATAATTGAAAAATGTCCCTTCAGGGAACAAATTATGTGTGAAACATGTATGCATCATGTTATTCTAATGTAAATTGATGAGAAAAAAGTATAAAGTTCTAAATATTATTAATAAAATAATTTATTCAACCATTTCAGTATGTTAACATGAGGCCTACTGTGGTTTCAGCTTCATGGTCAGCGAACACAGGCTCAAACACAGAAACCTGTGGAAAAACACCACGTCGTAGTTTACCTTCATCCCCTGTTTCCTTAAGCTTTCCGAGGTCACAGGTTGGAGCTCGGCCTTAAGACGTGATGTCGATCACAGAGAGGTCAGGCAGACAAAACAGAGAAACGGCTGCAGAGAGTGGAGGAGGTGGAGGGAGGGGTGGGAGAAGGAGAGGGAGACTGCTGCAGGTGAGAGTGCCATCATCAATACTAAGACTTTTCTATTCTGCATGAATCAGCACATTTGACTACAGGGATCAGTACAGTTTAGCACTCTGTGGAATTGTCTTCAGATTCCCAGTAATTACATGCTCCTCCGTGTGTCATCCCCTCTGACCAATCACTGTTCGGCCCTGACTGTGTGTCTCCTCCATGCGGGCCAAAGGGCTGCAGCCCTGCAGACAGTGCACTGGCTGAGGGAGAAATACGGCCTGTCTGGCTTTGTGCTTCACTGCTTCTCACTGCATTAGCTTAATTCTCTCCTCCATTGGGCAGATTTATATATATATATATATATAAGAATATATATATATATATATACATATATATGTGTGTGTGTGTGTGTGTGTACTATGTGTATTATATATACCATGTTACTGCCTCTACTGTGGCCTTTAAATACAGCAAACCTGGCGTATGGGAGAGACGTCAAGTGGTGTTGGGAACAGTGAGATATTTCAATTCCAAAAATTCAATCAGCCATTAAATAACTGCTGCTTTGAATCGACTGCTGTAGAAAACACTGCAGACACGGTGTGATATAAGACGCTGTTGCTATCAGGAGTGTTAATATGCCTGTGAAAATTATATACACTCGAGTCAAAGGCTTCTGCCACCGGTCATTACTCATGCAGCCTGTGTGCTGAAGCAGACAGAGCGCACTGAGACTATTTACCGGATGAGGGCAGCATTGCTTTACACTTGCATGCCGCGTTAACTTCACTAAAATAATCTATCCATCAACTGCAGCGGGTCCTCTGGTGTGCAGAATACATCAGAAGCCAAAGATTCTTTTTTTAAGTAAATTGATTTTAATCATACACTATTTAATATATATTTGATTTAGATTTTGTAGTAAATGGTAATGAAAACTGTCTGGATGTCCACATTCCAGATGCAAAGATTTCCCCTTAAAAATTTAACACTTTCTCCAATAGAGATATTTTCTTAAAATAGGATTGTGTAAAGCCAAAAAAAGTCATAACACCAACAGTAGAGTCAAAAAATAAGGGCTTCCAGTAGGAAAACTTTACCTTAGGCTACACAGTGGATGAGTGGTGGGTGCTCTCCCCTACAGCAAGAAGGTCACGGGTTTGATCTCTTGTGGTCTCCCTCTGTGTGTGGGAGTTTTCTCTGTGGTTTCCTCCCAAAGCACAAATACAAAAATGATCAGGTTAACTAGGCACCGCTACACTGACCACAGGTGAGTATGAGTGTGAATGGTTGTTTCTGTGACTGTACTGCACTCACCTGATGACAGCTGGCTGCAGTGGCTTCAACTCCCTCAATGACCCTGAAAAGAATCGAAACAGTAGAAGTTAAAATGAATGATACTTTTGACTGTGACACTACTCTAGGAAACATTGACTGTGTGCAGAAAACAACAAGTGGATGGACAATGGAACTAGAGATACATCATTCTGCCCATGTGTTACATTTTTGTTCTAATTAAACTTCACAAATAAATGATCCAAATAAATGTTAGTTTTGACAGGACTGTTATATTCACACTATCTAAAATGATCATGTTGAAAATTACTGAGTAATCTGGTGAGCCATGAAAACCAAGATCCTTTTCTCTTCTGAGAGCTACCTTTTACAAAATATAAATAGCTGATAGTTCCCCATGTTGTGTAACATTTATTTTCATAGCTCATTACTATTATTATTATTATTGCTGTTGTCGTTGTTATTTGGTATTGAATAATCAAAATTATTGGTTTGAGAGTTTGCTTGTATTCAAATTTAAACTGTTAAATGTTAAACTGACAAAATAATAATATTGTAACCTGTTATTTTTTGTGTTATTGCCAACAGTTTTAGTGCTTTAGTGCATTGTTATTGCACTGTTTAGTGCACCCAAAACAAATCTCTCTACTTCTGCTGGGACATCAAATCCAGGACACATCTGAGTTGTTTCCATGTGGTGCAGAAACTAGCTGGGAACCCTGCTTCCTCATCAAAACACTCCTCCTCCTTCCTCCCCTGATCTGAGGTACGTATCCTAGCAACACATCTCACAGACTGTCTGGGAAAACCCAGTGCTTCATAATAGTCTGTGCTAATATAGATCACCAACACTGGCCTCTCTCTCTAAGTGAGAGAATAAAGCCGTGTACAGAATGCATATTTTGTATATCATAGTGAAAACAGTGCATGATAATGTACAGACTAACAGCTTTACTGAGCTTTACAGTCTGGTGTGAACCAGATTGTTCACTGCTAGGAGCTGCCTGTGACAGTGATGGTGACAGGAGAGTGATGGAGGACCTGTCTGGAGTGTGTAAAGTTGGAGGCAGTACAGAAAGAAACTACATTTAAGTGTTTGATCAACGACCCACTGACTAATAACGACAGATCAGAGATATGCAGGTAAAAGTGTAGAATGTTGCAAACCACTTCATCTGTGCAACATATAGTTCAGCTTCACTGCTCCTTAAGAAAGTCCACACGCACGAGTGATCATCTGTTTCCGTCTGATGTCGTGTCACGTGTCAGATCGTCTCCACAGTGTTGTTGACTTCCATAATTTGGCAGAAATGCTCCCCTGAGACCAAGTCAACAGTTGTATTTTAGTGATTGTCCTGTGATTGAACGCAACTCATCCAGTCAGTTTACTCAACCACTCAGAGCCAGCACACTTTGGACGGAAAAGGTCCTAATGGGCCACGAAGACGCCATCTGTGACACTGATGCACCGTGTCGAGGCTGTACGTCTGTTTTTGACACTGCAGATCCAACGATACAAGGTGGACGTACAACGATACAAGACAAAAACTTCAATAGGAGATATTCAGTAGATCAGTGGAAGGTTTGGACTATGACATGGGGTTGTAGTGAGATTGTGGGGAAAATAAAGAATCACAATTATTTAAAAAATATTAAATAAAGTATCTTATCGAAAGCTTAACCCTTAACCCATGAAAGCAAAATTCACAATGTATGCCCTGCAACCCACACAGGCTGCCACAGGAGGCGCTATTAGTATGTGGTCGTATGTCTGTGAAAATTCTCATTCACCCAGGTCATGTTATCCATAGAGTTTAGTTGTAAGCAACTGTTAACTAAACTCTACGGATAAGTATGTGGTTGGAACCCATGCCCTTCTGCATTATGTTAGGACAAGGAAATATTTTTAAGAATTGGATGTAATTTTTACTTTTTTGTAATTTTTATTAATGTTTTCATATATATAATGTATCTATATATAAAATCACACATCATTATGACATGTTTTTATTTAAATTGATATTTTAATATTAGTATTCCATTTACAACAGGTTCCTCATTTTCTCCAACCTCATGAATGAGAACGTACCACAGCAGCCACCAACCCTGTCTATTACTGCTGTACTCGGAGGGAGCATCCAATTTAAGACGAGCCATGAAACCCCTGCAGGTAGTTGTGGATATACGCACCGCTGCTGATTTATGTAAATAAAGTAGTTTTTCATTACTCCAAGGCAACATTTAAGAGTACACATTTGCAGCCCCCCCACCCACCTCACCCCCACCCCCAGCTCCAGGCAAATGAAAGCATGTGAAGAGGGAGGGGAAATAATAGTCATTATTCCTGGGCTGAAATGACAAATGCGACGAGGATGGAGTGTGTTGTAATTATATTCTCCTAGAGAGAAGACGCCAGCTCATAGCTTCTCCCTCACAGAGATCCTGAAAATCCTCTCAATTAAGCCCAGCATTTTCCCTGGTGCTTTAAAGAAGGAGAGGCTGAAGCATAAAGCCAGGCCACAAATCACCCGGAGCCCATTGAAATAGCTGCCAGTTAACTACGTGATATTACCAGCGTGGAAATCTTTCACCCTTTATCCCTTTCAATTGCCAGGCTAGACACCCAGGCTGCCCCGGGTATTCTTGATAAACCAATAAAGCCAGCGATGGAACTTTTTCTTGTGTTCCGACACATTTTTGGACATATTTTATAAATGCGGCAAACGCTGATTTATCTCAATGTTACAACTCCTCCACGGAGCTGCAGCAAGAACCGCATTAAACATTTAGCTGCAACAGGAGAAGTGAAAACAAATCTCTCTCATTTAAATTAATTAGTAATCAAGGCTGATGAATGACCATAATCCAATCGATGTAGTGAGTGTATATTTGGCAGCTACTGCAGGACCACTCTTATCAGCTCTTTATTTGTGGACACTGCCATTGTTCTGAGCAGAAACTGGAACAACTTGGTGTCAAAGCACACAAACTGCATTGAGGGCTAGCTTCCAGGAAGAGATGCAGTGAAGGGCAAACTTCACCATTTGAAGTAAGATGTAGTATTAGGGCCACACTGAAACAAGTATTAGATCAGCGGTTCCATTTTACATTCGCAGGCTTTATGAAACCATAACAGTAATTTTGCCAGTGTTATTTTTTTTCCTCTTTATCTTTGATAATTTTTAAATCTGTTTAAATTGAAATCAATAAATAAATAAAAAGAAAACTGTTGCTGAAATCCATCCAGTACGGAGTAGCGCTCAAGAGTTATTTTTCTGTTACAGAGGGTTCCATCAGTATGAGGAGAGTCTCCTCGCTTCAGCATAAAACCTTCTGTCTGCTCAGGTGCCGCCGCGGGCTGATTTACAGCTGTGCCACTTTTAAGATGATAATGATGTTTTCTGTCTACGCTCTGCGTGTCTGAAACTCTCATGTACTCCGTCCTGAACTGATGTCTCTGAGGGACCTCGCTGCAGAAGAGCTCCATCCTACAACAGCCTGTACCTGCTGTCACCTGTGCTGTCACCCCCCCTTCACCTCCCCTCAGTTGTTTAGGGCTTCATTTGGCCCCAGCTACTATACTTAGGCTGGAGGCCATTGATTGGCAATTAGCATCAACTCTCCAGTTATCGGCCGGCTATCGGCGCTCCATTTTTCTGACCAGGCACCAGGCTTTAATAAACACCAAAGTGTTTCCTTTATTCGCAGGGTGCGCTGCTGTGCAGTAAAGCGGATAATGATCCACGCTGGGATTCAGGTGGTCGAGCCTCCAGAGGAAGTGGGGAGGAGGGAGGGGGCGCCCAGGAGAGAAAATAATAGTGGTATGATAGTACAACTTGCATTTTTATTGAAAATTACCTGCACCTTTCAGTGGAATGTTTGCAGAGCAATTCATCACGAGGACGCACACCTTACGACCAACAGGCCAGTGAAACCACCCACCCA